CTGTTAGAGATCATGTTGGAATATTACAAAACAGGCATAAAAAGAAATTGAGAGCTGAAGAAAAGGCAACTGGTATTGTACCTGATGAGCCGACAGAGTTGGAAGACCTGTTAGAGCAAATAATTGCCCTGGAAGAAAGTGCAGAGGCAGAGCAACAGGAAACTGGTCAGGAGAAGAACTGAAAAATAGAGAGTGATAGAGCAAAAGCTGAAGATATCAGGTTAAAAGCAATGGAAAACTTGAAAGACACTCAAAAAAGGCAATCAGATGGGATGGAGGACAATCAAAGTAAGCGACCACGACGCAGTGGCAGCAGTGCAATTTCTTATCTGTCACAAAGAGCTGACATTAACTACGAGCTTAAACAGGAGGAGTTGAAGCTGAAGAGAGATCGACAAGAGTTTGAGAAGAAACAAATGGAAGTTTCTGCAAATGCACAGAAGCAGTTCCAAGAGCAGCACAGTCAGCTTCTAAAGGTAGTGTTGCAGCAACAGCAACAACAGAGCCAACAAACACTGCTCATGATGCAACAGCAGCAGCAGCAAACAAAGGCATTATTGGACATTATGGAGCATATCGTAAATAAATAATTGCTTATCAACAATGTGCAAAATAAATCCCTAAGTGACTTTCAGTTGATTTTCTGACAAGGTTTTGAATTGCATTTTGATTGAGATCTGGAAAGTAATTTTATGTTCATTCAAGCATGTTCCTATGCCATTGCAGTTTTGCTTAGAAAATAACCCAAACCCAATGTACGAGGTGCGCGGAGGTAAAAATACTGCTGCTTACATCTCAAATTTTCTTTTAAGTCACCTTAGGGATTTTTTTCTGTGCTGCACCCCTGCCCTTCTATTGTTTAATGCATTCTTAAGTTCTCTTGTGTTCCCATGGAAGGCAGTATTTTTATTACCTTTAGTATTTTTCTGCTGCTCTGTTTCAGATTTTGAACTCCTGAAATTAGGCAGGCAGGAACCTTTTTTTATGACTAAAGCTGTTACCAACTTTGCAAAGTTCGTTTTCATATTAAGCTAAGTCGTTTCAGTTACCCTGGGTTGAGTGGTAAATTACTGTACTCTGATCCACCTAATTTATCACATTACTCCCTGTTTTTGGCAATGATGTAACAATAACTTTTTCCCATGTCTTCCTTCTTCCAAGTCAATTAGACTTGGACTTAAGACTTAAGACCATTACATAGCATTTAACCCCTGTTGTTGTTGTATTAGAGTTGATCTCCTAGATTGAAAATTGTTCTTCTTAAGTGATTTCACTATTTATGAAGTGGGGCGGGGTGAGCTGATAACTTACTGTACTCAGCTACTAAATTTGTTACTTCCTTCCCTGTTTATGGAGATGATGTTACAAATTGACTTTTTCTGAAATAGCAACTGGGGCATTTTCCCCCTTGTTCCTGGTCTCTTCGAGTGTAGAATTTTCTAATAAAGTTTGTTGTTGTTGTGGTTGTATTAGACATCATAGTTTGCAAAACTGTTTTTCTGTAGAGCATTTGTTATTCATGGGAGGGAGGCAGTGAATGGGATAACTTAGTTACAACTTTTACTACCCATCCGGGTCAAATTTCTCTAATCCCTGTTNGTCTCCCTTTAGACTCTTGGCAGCCCAGTTATGCTGCAGCCTCAAGCTCTCTGATAGGCTGGCTCGCTTTCAGGTATGAGCAGGCCTTGGATCAGTCCCCTGAGCTAAGTTCTAGTTATTGCCAACTCTCAACTCTCTACTGGCCATGTTGAATCAGTACAGATACATACAGATATATACAGGCCCTAAATGGGGACACTGTGAACTTGTAAACTTGATGAACATGTATACTGTCAGATGTACAGTGAACAGACACATCAGTCTGTGTATACCTTCACTTATTCACATTTTTTTATTTTAGTTCCGTAATGTTTTGGACCAAAGATCACGATTTGATACTATGCCGTGAAGTTCTTAATCTTAATCCATTCACTACAAAAAAAGGCTCAACACAACGAAGTACAATTTGGGATAAAGTGGCTACAACACTGAATAATTGTTCCTGTCTGGCATTTAATGTTGACAAGCGATCTGTTAGAGATCATGTTGGAATATTACAAAACAGGCATAAAAAGAAATTGAGAGCTGAAGAAAAGGCAACTGGTATTGTACCTGATGAGCCGACAGAGTTGGAAGACCTGTTAGAGCAAATAATTGCCCTGGAAGAAAGTGCAGAGGCAGAGCAACAGGAAACTGGTCAGGAGAAGAACTGAAAAATAGAGAGTGATAGAGCAAAAGCTGAAGATATCAGGTTAAAAGCAATGGAAAACTTGAAAGACACTCAAAAAAGGCAATCAGATGGGATGGAGGACAATCAAAGTAAGCGACCACGACGCAGTGGCAGCAGTGCAATTTCTTATCTGTCACAAAGAGCTGACATTAACTACGAGCTTAAACAGGAGGAGTTGAAGCTGAAGAGAGATCGACAAGAGTTTGAGAAGAAACAAATGGAAGTTTCTGCAAATGCACAGAAGCAGTTCCAAGAGCAGCACAGTCAGCTTCTAAAGGTAGTGTTGCAGCAACAGCAACAACAGAGCCAACAAACACTGCTCATGATGCAACAGCAGCAGCAGCAAACAAAGGCATTATTGGACATTATGGAGCATATCGTAAATAAATAATTGCTTATCAACAATGTGCAAAATAAATCCCTAAGTGACTTTCAGTTGATTTTCTGACAAGGTTTTGAATTGCATTTTGATTGAGATCTGGAAAGTAATTTTATGTTCATTCAAGCATGTTCCTATGCCATTGCAGTTTTGCTTAGAAAATAACCCAAACCCAATGTACGAGGTGCGCGGAGGTAAAAATACTGCTGCTTACATCTCAAATTTTCTTTTAAGTCACCTTAGGGATTTTTTTCTGTGCTGCACCCCTGCCCTTCTATTGTTTAATGCATTCTTAAGTTCTCTTGTGTTCCCATGGAAGGCAGTATTTTTATTACCTTTAGTATTTTTCTGCTGCTCTGTTTCAGATTTTGAACTCCTGAAATTAGGCAGGCAGGAACCTTTTTTTATGACTAAAGCTGTTACCAACTTTGCAAAGTTCGTTTTCATATTAAGCTAAGTCGTTTCAGTTACCCTGGGTTGAGTGGTAAATTACTGTACTCTGATCCACCTAATTTATCACATTACTCCCTGTTTTTGGCAATGATGTAACAATAACTTTTTCCCATGTCTTCCTTCTTCCAAGTCAATTAGACTTGGACTTAAGACTTAAGACCATTACATAGCATTTAACCCCTGTTGTTGTTGTATTAGAGTTGATCTCCTAGATTGAAAATTGTTCTTCTTAAGTGATTTCACTATTTATGAAGTGGGGCGGGGTGAGCTGATAACTTACTGTACTCAGCTACTAAATTTGTTACTTCCTTCCCTGTTTATGGAGATGATGTTACAAATTGACTTTTTCTGAAATAGCAACTGGGGCATTTTCCCCCTTGTTCCTGGTCTCTTCGAGTGTAGAATTTTCTAATAAAGTTTGTTGTTGTTGTGGTTGTATTAGACATCATAGTTTGCAAAACTGTTTTTCTGTAGAGCATTTGTTATTCATGGGAGGGAGGCAGTGAATGGGATAACTTAGTTACAACTTTTACTACCCATCCGGGTCAAATTTCTCTAATCCCTGTTCTTCAGGAACATTCTAACCATTTTGGACCCTACCATCACACACGAGGGTATGAAACTTTTACAGCGCCTCTATTTTCCCAGATGCCTCCCTTTCCATAAGTAAGGGACACTCCCTTTGTCCTTAGTAGAAACCTAACTGAAATACTGATCCAACGTGGGGGGTACTAGGCCAAAGTATTCAGCTGTAGAGTTGGAATATAGGCAGGTTAGGGCGTTTCTAAGTAGTGCGCAAACAATGTACATCTTGCCAACCTGGCTTAGTCCTATCTTTAAGTCCTTCTTGAAGTCCAGGAACTTGAAATAATTAATGATATCAGCAAATAACCATTCCACAGAAACACGGACTGCACTCATTGAATCATTAAAAATCTGCATATCTCTTGTCAAAATTCCAATGCAAAATGGTGCTTGGAGATGAACTCTTAGCGGATAAGCAGGATCGCCATAAGGACACATTTCTGCTCCGGTCGGGAAAAAGGCAAAGTTCTCCAGTTCATCGTAGAGATTTGACAAGGCCAGCATCCTAGCATCGTGCATTCTTCCTTCTGAATATAAAAACAAAATTGTAGAAAAATAAGAATCGAAACGTTTGAGAACTGGAAAAAATAGTAGTAACACGAATTTTGCTTACCCGCAGCACCATAAAGATGACCAATTAAACCATTGGGAAGTGCCACAGACTGGAATTTAAGTGCATGAACGCGTTTGTGTCCATTATACACGGCTCTCTGGTTTATGATAGGTCGGCTGATGGGGCGCACTGTTCCGTCTATAAACCCGAAGCAATTTTCAAGGGCGGCTCCTTTATTGTAAATTGCTGTGGCGTAGACATCGAGCATTGCCGGGCTCAAAATATCATGATTCCAGTGAGTAACTCTGTGGCCATGGTTGGTATATAGCCAGTCGGTGATTTCATTACTAATGATACTTAACTCTGGAACTGATCTACCAAAAATTGGTATCATGTCCGAGTAACGACATGGATATGCAAACTGCTTTAGCAGTATACACAGGCCCTCTGTTGCATCGCAAACTGTGCCATTCCCGCAAACAAATTCTGGAGGCATTCTTAAAGCATCAATGAGCAATGGAATATCTGCCTTTTCCACTCGAAAATCCGCTTTACACTCTGCAGGATCCTTGTTCAGCAGGGAAAACGTGTCATATTGACAGTGAGGAAATGGAAGATTTTGTGGCGTATATTCCTCGTAGAGTACCGCAAATTCTTCGTCATCGATAATTTCCTCTTCTAAACAGAAAAGCACCATTTCTTGAACTGCTTTAAACGAGGTCATGGTGTTTAGTTTGGACGAAACCTGCTGTGTCTCAAGTTGTGTTGTTCTTCGTCGCGTTGCAGCTCTTAACTTCATTTTTCCCGCGCTTACAACGCCGCTCTCGGCCCAGGCTTTCCTCGGTTACGACGTTCTAGAAACCACCGCTTCCTCGTATCTTAAAGTCCCTAATGTAATAGCAATGTTCGTAGCCTAGTTACGACGTAACAAAACGTAGACGTAGACGTAGACGCAGCTAAACGTAGACGTAGCTAAACGTAGGTTCGAACTGAAAGCGATAATTAAAGAATACGAACTAGTTAGATTAATTATAAAATTAGGACTAAAGGGTAGAATAATCTAAATGACATAAAACTATGATGCAAGAAGCAGACAACTGAAAAAATCCGATAATTGATACTTGAGCTAATTAACCGAGACAATAACATTTAACTCTCAGCGTGAATAAAACAATCAAAACTATATCGTAGCGATTCCGCTTGAACAGGACTTATCTTAAAAACACTAAACTAGATTATATAAAATACTTTGGTAACAGTAACAATAATTAATCCTGTTTGATTCCAGCAGATTTGTCTTCAAATCAATGTCCTTCTCATGAGATAGCGTAAAGACTTGATAGTTCCACGAATTACAGTACTAAATAACTATAAGAAAATAAAAGACTTACGTTGGTCGACGACTCGCACCAAAAATAGCAAAAAATAGCAATCTAGCAGCAGCAAAATATCTTCTGATAGCAACTCCAATGATAGCGGGATAACTTATAATTTCTAGTATTGCGTTGCCTCTTTTATAATAGAGTATACGTGCAGTATTATGCCTAGGGCGTTAACTAAGTAAAACTGTACCTACGCTTTACGCGTTTCCTAGCGGAAAGTACTGCACCATGACATAAGCGTGAAAACCTACGAAATGTTTCTAGAAAGATTGATATAATCACGTTCTATAACCAAAAAATAAAACTGTCTTAAAGCAACTAAAAAATACTATAAGACAAATGAACAAAAGAGCGTTTCAAAACTAACACATACATGACGTTGCCTTTGGTAACTGTAGAAGGGT